CATTTCACAATAATTATGGGAGATTTTAATGCCAAAATAGGTAAGAAGACTGAGGGAGAAACTGTAGTGGGGAATCACGGAATGGACACTAGGAATGAGAGGGGACAAATGCTAATCAATTTCGCGGAGGCTAGACTAGACTAGAGCGAAAGTGGACAAGGAAGTCGCCATCGGACATCAAAAACGAAATTGACTTCATAATTTCAAATAAGCGCGAGAGAGTAAAAAATATAAAAATTATTAATAAAGTAAATATTGGCAGCGATCACAGAATGGTCAGAAGCCAAATTAAATTCCATCCTAGAAGAGAAAGGAACTCATACGACGACAGCAGCCAAAATTCGCCAACTTGAAGACAAAAGCGACAGAATTTAGCCTTAACATCTAAAACAAATATTCACTTCTCAGCGACGAATATCTCAACGTTGACCAAATCAACAAACAGTTCAATGACATATTAAAGGAAACTACACTTGAAGTATACAGTAAGAACGACAAACAAAGCTCCAACAAGCTCCCGGTGGAAACTAAAGAGCTTATGCAATATATATACGAAGATGGCACAGCAACCATCGAGCTCCACACGGAAACCGCTAAAAATACTAATTATAAGGGTGTTAGACAGGCCGACACCATCACACCAAAACTGTTTACAGCTTGCCTTGAGGAAATATTTAAGAAGCGGAAACGGAAAGGGTATCAAAATAGGAGACGAATATCTAAACAATCTAAGATTTGCAGATGATATTGTTCTCTTCAGTGAATCTGCAAATGAAATGCAGCAACTAATAAATGATCTGAATAGAGAAAGTTTGAAAATCGGACTTAGGATGAACAAGAGAAAGGCTAAGATCATGTTCAACAGTAGAGTTCATTTCGAACAGATGCATGTACAAGGCGAAACGCTAGTAGTAGCGGACAAATATATATACCTGGGGCAACTCGGACAGACAGACACATCTAACGAAGAGGAAATAAACCAACGCATCAGTCTAGACTAGAGCGCCTTCGACAGACAGTAGTATATTAGCAGGCTCCTTGTTATGTCTAAAAAGAAAAGTCTTTAACCAATGCATCTTCCCAGTTATGACTTATGGATCAGAAACATATACTTCATCCAAATTACTGTGGAGGAAACTAATAAGTGCTCAGAGAAGGATGAAAAGGTTGATGCTGGGAATTAGCCGAAGTGATCGGATGAGGGCGACGTGGATCAGGAAACAGACAAAAGTGGAATTTATACTGGGGAGAATAATAAAAAATGGCAATGGACAGGTCATATATGTCGGAGACAGAACGATAGATGGACAAAAAAAGTAACAAACTGGGCTAAAGATGACATGAGTCTAGGGGCCAGACCAATGATAAGATGGCATGACGAAATAACGAATATGGGGGTGGGTGGCGGTGGCCCAGACTGAAAACAAAAAACAGACAAGGACAGACAGACAAGGTTGGAAAAGACTGAGAGAGGCCTACGTCCAGCAGTGGCCTGAGTCAGGCGGATGATGATAATGATGATATTCATCCTATCGCATAAACAAATTCTGCAACTGTGCGCACGATAGAACTTGTATGCAGGAGTATCAAACACGCGGCCGCCACACTATTATATGCGACCCACGGAACATTTATTGCTTCAGTTTTACAGTCGGTCGTTTTACATGATTAATTAAGCCAGTCTTCCGTCTTTTAAGATTATCACTTACACTCTTACAGTTTTTTATTATTTTGTTTTTAGAGTGAATGAAATAGCCTCGTACGTCTTTATATCACGCATATGGCCGTTTCGTCGTGTCGATTCATGATTATCTGGACCGCATACGGTATACTACGGTGAATTGTGCCTCCGGGATTTTAAACGAGTTTGGCAGCCCTGTTGCAGGCATTCTTCACACCAAATATCAATATCTATATCTATCTATTTATTTATCTATACATATACACACACATATATGTACATATACGTATTTATATATATATATATATATATATATATATATATATATATATATATATATGTATATATATATATATATACATATATATATATATATATATATATATATATATATATATATATATATATATATATATATACACACACACGTATGTATGTATATATATATGTGCATGTATATATATATATATATATATATACATACACACACACACACACATACACACACACACACACACACACACACACACACACACACACACATATATGTATGTGTGTGTGTGTTTACAAATATTTACATACATACATATGCAAATATATCTATATATCTATTTATATATGTGTGTGTGTGTGTGTGTGTGTGTGTGTGTGTGTGCGTACGTGTGTGTGTGCGTGCGCGCGCGCGAGTGCACGTGTGTGTTTGTGTCTATATATTTATATATATACACATACATATATGTATACAGATATACATATATATATATGTATATATCTATATACACACACACACACATATATATATTATATATATATATATAT